GGAGCTGATTCTTTGAAAAGATTAATAAAACTGATAAACCTCTAGTCAGATTTATCAAAAAGAAAAAAGACAGGACCCAAATGAATAAAATCACAAGTGAGAGGAGAAAGAACAACCAATACCACAGAAATACAAACTATTATAAGAGACTATTATCAAAATCCACATGTCAACAAATTGGAAAAGTTGGAAGAAATAGGTAAATTCCTAGAAACATAAACAACAAAACTAAAACAGGAAGATATAGAAAACTTGAACAGACTGATAACCAGCAAAGAAATTGAATCAGTAATCACAAAAATCCCTACAAACAAACGGCCAAGACCAGATGGCTTCACAGGCAAATTCTACCAAACATTTAAAGAAGAGTTAATACCTATTCTTCTCAAACTGTTCCAAAAAAATAGAAAAGGAAAACTTCCAATTTCATTCTATGAGGCCAGTAAAGCCCTGATAAAAAAACCAATGGAGACACCACTAAAAAAGAGAACTACTGGCCAATATCCCTTATGAACATGGATGCAAAACTTGTCAGTAAAATGCTAGCAAACCAACTCCAACAATAGATTTAAAAAAAAAATCATTCACCACGATCAAGTGAGATTTATTCCTGGGATACAAGGGTGGTTCAATATTTGCAAATCAATCAACGTGATATACCACATTAATAAAAGAAAGGAGAGGGCGCCTGGGTGGCTCAGTTGGTTAAGCGACTGCCTTCGGCTCAGGTCATGATCCTGGAGTCCTGGGATCGAGTCCCGCATCGGGCTCCCTGCTCGGCGAGGAGCCTGCTTCTCCCTCTGACCCTCTCCCCTCTCATGTACTCTCTCTCTCATTCTCGCTCTCTCAAATAAATAAATCTTTAAAAAAAAAAAGAAAGGACAATAACCATATGATTATATCAATGGATGCATCAAAAACATTTGACAAAGTACAACATCCATTCATGATAAAAACAGCTCAACAAAGTAGGTTTACTAAAGGCCATCTACGGAAAACCCACAGCTAATATCATACTCGATGGAGAAAAACTGAGAGCTTTTCCTCTACAGTCAGGAGGAAGACAGGGATGTCCACTCTCACCACTGTTATTTAACAATACTGAAAGTCCTGGCCACAGCAATCAGACAACAAAAAGCAATAAAAGGCATCCAAATCAGCAAGGAAGAAGTCAATCTTTCACTATTTGCAGATGATATGATACTCTATATTGAAAACCCAAAACACTCCACCAATAAACTGGTAGAACTGATACACGACTTCAGTAAAGTCACAGGATACAAAATCAGTGTACAGAAATCTCTTGCATTTCTCTGTAGCAATAATGAAGATTACTGAGAGTATTTGTATATGTATCTCTCTACAGAGACAGAAAATAAGGAATCAATCCCATTTACAATTGCACCAAAAACAGTAAGATACCTAGGATTAAACCTAACCAAAGAGGTGAAATCACAAGTGAGAGGAGAAAGAACAACCAACACCACAGCAATACAAACTATTATAAGAGTTCTGTACTCTGAAAACTAGAAAACACTGATGAAAGAAATTGAAGACGCCACAAAGAAATGGAAAGACATTCCATGCTCATGGATCAGAAGAACAAATATGTTAAAATGTCTATACTACCCAAAGCAATCTACATATTTAATGCAATCCCTATCAAAATACCACTAGCATTTTTCACAGAGCTAGAACAAACCATCCTAAAATTTGTATGGAACCAGAAAAGACCCTGAACAGCCAAAGCAACCAAGGCAACCTTGAAAAAGCAAAGCAAAGCTGGAGGCATCACAATTCCAAACTTCAAGTGATATTACAAAGCTATACTAATCAAAACAGTATTGTACTGGCACAAAAGCAGACACATGAGACAACAGAACAGAATAGAAAACCTAGAAATGAACCCACAACTATATAGTCAGCTAATTCTCGACAAAGCAGGAAAGAATATCCATTGGATAAAATACAGTCTCTTTAACAAAAGGTGTTGGGAAAACTGGACAGCAACAAGCTGAAGAATGAAACGGGACTGCACTTTCTTACACTATACAGAAAAATAAATTCAAAATGCATTAAAGATTTAAATGTAAAACCTTAGACCATAAAAACCCTACAGGAGAACACAGGCAGTAACTTCTTTAACATTGGCTGTGACAACTTCCTTGTAGATATATCTCCTGAGGGAGAGGAAACAAAAGCAAAAAGAAACTATTGGGACTTTATCAAAATAAAAAGTTTCTGCTCAGCAAAGGAAACAATCAACAAAACTAAAAGGCAACATACGGAATGGGAGAAGATATTTGTGATGGCATATGTGATAAAGGGTTAGTATCCCAAATATATAAAGAACTTATGTAACACCCAACAAATGAATAATCCAATTAAAAATGGGCAGAAGACATAAATAGACATTTTTCCAAAGAAGACATCCAGGTGGCCAACAAACACATGAAAAGATGTTCAGTATCACTGATTATAAGGGAAATGCAAATCAAAAATACAATGAGCTATCACCTCACACCTGTCAGAATGGCTAAAATCAACAGCACAAGAACAGGTCAACACCAAAAGGGGTGGTTTTGTGCTATTAGTGGGAATGCAAGCTGGTGCAGTCACTCTGGAAAACAGTAGGGAGGTTTCTCAAAAAGTTAAAAATAGAACTACCCTCAGATCCAGCAGTTGCACTACTAGGTGTTTACCCAAAGAATACAACAATACTAAGTGAAAGGGAGACATGCACCCCAATGTTTTTAGCAGCATCATTAATAATAGCTAAATTATTGGAACAGCCCAAGTGTCCATCGACTGATGAATGGACAAAGATGTGGAGGATAAATATATATAATGGAGTATTATTCAGCTACAAAAATAATGAAATCTTGCCATTTGCAATGACATGGATGGAGCTAGAATATCATGCAAAGGGAAATAAGTCCATCAGAAAATGTCAAATACTCTATGGTTTCGCTCATAAGTGGAATTTAAGAAACAAAACAGATGAGCAAAGGAAAAAAAAGGAGAGAGAGACAGGGAGGCAAACTACAAAATAGACTCTTAACTATAGAGAACAAACTGATGGTTACCAAAATGGAGTTGGGTGGGTGGACTGGTTAAATAGGTGATGGGGATTAAAGAGTGTACTTGTTGTGATGAGCACCTAGTGTTGTATGGAGGTGTTGAATCACTATATTGTACACCTGAAACTAATATTACACTATATGTTAAGTAACTGGAATGTAAATAAAAACTTTGAAAAATATACACCTTAAATATACACAATGTTGTATGTAAAATATACCTCAATAAAAAATATTTATCAAAAAATGGTAACTGTGAGATAACAAATGCATTAATTAGCTTGTCATAATCATTTCACAATGTATATACCTACCAAAGGATCACATTATACACCTTAAATATATACAATTTTCATCTGTCAACTATACCTCAATAACGCTGGAAAAATATTTAAATACCTATGCCTGAACCTTAGGACTCAAATAATTAACTGGGCTATTAAAATAAATACTGCAACTGAAATGAGTCTGTGTTTCACTACATCATTAACTTAGTAATATCAACCATGAACTTAATCTGAGAAGAAACAAGAAAGCTCTTATCACTTCAGGAAATTACTGCCTATATAACCATGAAGAATAGAGCACAACCCTGTTGAAATCCTTGTTTCAATTCACTCAATACAGAATGTAAGACGTGGGTCTCAGCAAAATAACAAATTTCTCCATGTCATAGACCTTTAAAAATCATTAAACAGTGAATTTCAAATCCATAAATGTCAAAATCTTACTATACTTCCATTATTGTACTTGTGTCATTGAACCACCTATCCCCCTGAGAAGATGAGCTTCATGGGGACAGGCCTGTTTCTTCATTCTTTTAATGCCAAAGCTGACCTACACAAAGCAACCACCCCAGAAACATTTGTTGAATTACACTGCTTCCTAATTGGTCAGCTTCCAGGCCATCCTCCTCTCCGAAATCCTGCCAGTCAAAAAATACATCTCTGCTAATGTCATTCCATTGTCCCAAACCTTTAATGGCTGTTCATAGTAATCTGCTTTAGAGGATTATGTCCACACACCCTGGCAGGGCGTATAAGGACCGTCACACTGTTCCCTCAGCCTGTATTCCCCGTCTCAGTCCCAGCCTCTCCTCTTCACACACCCTCTCAAGCCATATTAGGTGTTCCTTGAACACTTTTGGATTTTTATGACTCTATGTCTTTGCAAACGCTGTTTCCTCTGAAAGATCCTTCCCCTCTCGTCTGCCTAGCAAACATTTATTATTAAAGTTCAGTTTAAATATTACTACCTTTGCATCTTTCCCTGACCCCTCACAGAATTAACGTCCCCTTCGTTTGTTTTTCTGTACCAATAGGTTTACTTATTCTGAAAATGGACGAAGCTAAATTCAGGGGTAAGGGAAGAAGAGAAGGAAGGGGGGAGCGTCCTGTTGGACTTACCTATGCAGTGATTGCGGCACTACGCGTTAAACACATTGTTCAAGCAGCAGTGGGAGGATGGGGTTGGATAACCTTTCGGTCTTAAGAGGCTATGGCTGGCGTCTTTCGCACAGCGTGTACGTGTGCTCCCGCGTTTGTGTTGAGGGGGGAAACAAAGAGAGACAAAAAACCGAAAGAGAGATCAGAAAGGAGACGAGGGGGGACGCAGTGCAGTAAAGACAGATGGGCGGACCCAAATTTCTTCCGCTTCACCGTTTTGCGGAGGTCCAGCTCTGCATCTAGCGCTGTAGCAAGGGGGTGGAAGAGGAGAAAAGGGGAGGGACCGCATTCCCTCTGAGCGTGCCCGGCCTCGACTGCCGGGCGTATCACCTTCCGCTCCAACAAGGCCAGTTCCTCCTCGCCATGACTCATGCCTATTGTGCCAGGCAGGGCGCACTCTGCCCCGCAGCCTTACAGGTGGTATCGGTTTGGTGAGACGGTTCCCGCCAGGCTAGGCAGTGGAGCGCCGCACAGCGCGCCTTCCAGCCTCCCAGCTGCCTGCCGGGCAGTTCCGACCCAGCGCCGGCAGGCCTGCTCGGTCGATCTTCGATCCAAAGATGCGGCGGGGCTGGAAGATGGCTCTGTCCGGGGGGCTGCGATGCTGCCGCCGAGTACTTTCCTGGGTGCCAGTGCTTGTTATCGTCCTCGTTGTGCTTTGGTCCTACTATGCCTACGTCTTTGAACTCTGCCTGGGTAAGTGGAGCTGGGCACCTACGGTGGGGAAATTATGCTCCAGCGTAATTGTCTGTCGTACCCTTCACACTGGTGTCCCCCTCCCGCGTGTTCTTAACCCTCACACTGCAGGGCTTTTTTTTTTTTTTTGAGGGGTGGGGGTTGTTTGTTTGTTCTTAGCTCTCTGGAGACCTCCTCATCTCCAGCCTCTGGCTTCTCACAATATTTCTTCACCCACGAGGGTCCCACCGTGTCGCCATCGCTTCCCACTGAGGGCTTTTTACATTATTCCCTGGCCTTACCCACAAGAATCTCCTGGCACTTTCCACTAGAGCCCCCTTTTCTCATATAGGACAACCACTTGTGCCTGGTGTTCTCGTTCTGGGGGCTCCCACCCTACGCAATTGAGAAAACAACACACCCTGTATCGTTAAACTGCTTGCACTCTGAATCCCACCAATGCATCCAACTAGGAGCCCCACATTTTCGCATTCCTTCCCACTAAGGAATCCCGAAATATTTCCTGTACTCTCTTACTAGCTCTCTTTTTTCCAACACTGGAATTCATCCTTTTTCCATGATCCTCTCACACTGGCATAAGTGCTTCACAGCTTCTCCCACATAGGACCCCACAGTATGCCTTGTTTTATCCCACTGGGTCTCCCCTTTTCACAAAGTGAAAATGGGCCCTTTATTCTCTTTCCCTGTGGGCTTTACCATTCTGTCATCTTCTCCAGTGGAATGAGGGTCCTACAATACACCTTGTCCTGTCCCCTCACATTAGAGTACCTGATTTTATCACACTGGGGTTCCCTTTCATCTTCTGCTCTCCTGCTTTGAGGAGCATTCACTCCTTTCCATTAGGGTCCTCACATTATTTTCTCACACCTCATACTAGGCACCCTGCTTTTATCACAATATGGTCATGCCTTGTCCACTCTCTTCTCACATTAGTGTCCTCTTTACCCTCCCACAAGAGTTTCCACAATATCTCACACCCCTCCCTAAGGTCACTACTTTTCTTTTCAGTTACCATTACTACTTTTCTAATGATACTCCCCCCTTCTTATCTGTTTTGAAAACTAATCCCCACCTCCTGCAGTTCTCTTTTATTGTTAGCCCCACATTTTGCCATCCTCTTTCTCTAAGTTTTTTTTATTATTATTATTTTATCTCAATTCCCTTTAGGGTTGTCCTTTTCCCCTGTCTTCTCAAACTAGGAAAACACTATCCTTTTCCACTGGGATTTCTAATACTTCCTTCCCAGTCCCATGGGAGCCTCATTTCTTGTCCCATTTCATTAGATCATCCCTTTTATAAATCTAGAGTCTCCTCTTGTACCCTGTCCTGTCACATTATGGAGCATTCCATCCCCTTCTTATTTATAAAATGGTTCCCACAGCCTATCTTATGCTTTCAAACTCAGAATTCCACAATATTTCCTGAAACAAACCCCAACATCCTATCCTGTATGTTCCCCAATTGTATTACCCCAGTCACCTATCCTTATCACTAATGGTTTTATAGTGTTCTTATAAATTCACAATGGAGTTTTTATATTATATCCTGTCTCCTCACAACAGACCTTCTGTTTTTCTCACAGTGAGATCTCCCCTTGCCTCTCTCCTCTCTCATTGAAGAATTTCCATCTCTTCTCAAATGAGATTCACTAATAGTTATTGTTGCTTCAATTTGAGAAATCCTACTTCTAGCACCTTTAAACTTGTATCCTGCAATGATCCCCATTCATTCAGTATGAGGTTCCAGCATATTTCAAGTCCCCTCACACTAGGACTCTTATTTGGCCCTTTGGTCACCCACGCACTGTCAGGTCCTTCCACAATAACTTTATGTCTTTATACTGGGTTTTTAACATCTTAAAAATTATGGTTAGGGTGCTGTTTTGTCCAACCCAGGACCCGACCCTTCTTACAACTTCCTTCTCTTATGTATTTGACAAAGCAATAGTTTACTCCAGGTAGGTGGAGATTAAGTAGGGAGCCAGGAGATAACTGTTTCCCAATATAGAAATTTCTTCTAATAAACTGTGCATGAGAGTTTGAATTTTCTACCTCTCCTTCTTAGATTTATTATGGAAAATGTACTGAGATGTTAAAAATAAATTCAATTAGTTGCCTTTATAGATGCAGATACAGGCTGCTTTTCTTTTTATCTCAAATTTTATTTCAACCTTTACCTCAACAATAAACCTCAGCTTTATTGATGAGTATTAAGTGGGCTATGCAATGATTAGGAAGTTTTACTATTTTCAGACTTCACCATTTTACTTTTTGAATGATTGAAGGGTTAAAAGTTCAGCTCCATTATTATACTATGGGCTTTGCTTCTTAGGATCAATACCATCTTGTAAACACTACTAAGCATATGTTAAAAGTTTTGCAGTACTGACTTACATGAGCTTAGCCAAGCATTCATTTAAAAAATTAATAATAATAATAGCTGACACTTACATAGTGCTTAATCTGTTCTAGGCAATGTTCTAAGTACTGTAGATATCTTAATTCTCTCTATATTAAATCACTTTATCCTGACAATAACCATACAAAGTAGGTACCCTTAGTGTCCCCATTTTATAGATGTGCAAACTTAGGCAAAGTTCAGGTTAGAATTAGTGAAAATAGTTAAAGGAAGCTTAGAGCTTTTTTATTTTGTTTTATTTAACATATTTGCAGAGTACTTGTTATATGCCAGGCACTGTTTTAAATGGTGCTCACGCATGCACACACACACACACACACGTGCACACACTCACACTCAATTCTCATAACAACCTTATAAGGTACATTCCCATTTTAAAGACAAGAAAACTGAGGCACAGACAGATGAAGAAGGTTGCCTAGGGTCATAGAGCTAGTAAATGGCCGAGCTTAGATGGCAACCCAGGCAGTATGGTTCCACAGTCCATGCTTTAACCGCCATAGTGTCATAACTCTCTGCCTTCTCTCAACAAATATAGAAGGCAAAACTTGTGACTAACAGGCCAAATGTCACCTGCAGATGTATTTTATTTGGCCTGCACAGTGTTTTCTTAATATTTTGCATCAGTTATCATTATTTAAAAACCAGGAGAGTAAGGTAGCCTTCACTTCCAATTCTGGCTCCACCTTCATTCTGTCATCTTCATTTTACAGTCTCCTAAAACCTTGGTTTCAGAGAGGTTAAGTCAAATCTTCCTAAGTCACTTGTTTAGGAAATAATGGAAAATTGGGTGTCAAGGCTGCTTGAAACCAAAACAACACAACCAAATTAACAGATTCAAATTTCAATATGACTCAAAAAGTAGTATTAAGGACCTAACTTCTTTCTCCAAATAGAACCTGATGTCTTTATCTGTAATTTCAGGTTAGAACTGAAGCCAAAAAGTGGTATTTTTGTCTTATAAAAGTTTGAATTCTGCCACTTACTAACTAGGAGATCTGTGGCAATTTACCTAATCTTTCTCAACCAAGGTTGCCTCACATGGCGCCTTGCTTATATGGTTGTTCATTCATACCACAGATACTTCCTTAGCACCTACTATATGCTATTTAGAGCATTGTTGTTGTGAGATTTAAATAATATCATGCATCTGTATATCTTCTTTGGAAAATGTCTATTCATGTCTTTTGCCCATTTTTAAAAGATTTTTTATTTAAATTCAATTATTTAACATATAATGTATGATTCGTTTCAGAGGTACAGGCCTATGACTCATCAGTCTTATATAATACCCAGTGCTCATTACATCACATGCCCTCCTTAATGTCCATTACCCAGTTACTCCATCTCTGCACCCCCTGCCCCTCCAGCAACCCTCAGTTTGTTTCCTATACTTAAGAGTCTCCTATGATTTGTCTCCCTCTCTGGTTTCATCTTCTTTAATTTTTTCGTGTCTTCCCCTATGATCCTCTGTTTTGTTTCTTAAAGTCCACATACCAGTGAGATCATATGATAATTGTCTTTCCCTGACTGACATATTTTGCCTAGCATAATACCCTATGGTTCCATCCATGTCATTGCAAATGGCAAGATTCCATTCTTCTTGATGGCTACATAATATTCCATTTTGGATCACTACATTTGTATCTTTGGGGCAAATACCCAGTAGTGCAATTACTGGGTCATAGGGTAGCTCTATTTTCAACTTTTTGAGGAACCTCCATACCGTTTTCCAGAGTGGCTGCACCAACTTGCATTCCCACCAACAGTGTAGGAAGGTTCCCCTTTCTCCACATCCTCGCCAACATCTGTCCTTTCCTGACTTGTTAATTTTAGCCATTGTGACTGGTGTGAGGTGGTATCTCATTGTGGTCTTGATTTGTATTTCCCTGATGCTGAGTGATATGGGGCATTTTTTCATGTGTCTGTTGGCCATTTGTATGTCTTCTTTGGAGAAATATCTGTTTGTGTCTTCTGTCCATTTCTTGACTGGATTATTTGTTCTTTGGGTGTTGAGTTTGATATGTTCTTTATAGATTTTGGATACTAGCCCTTTATTTGATATGTCATTTGCAAATATCTTCTCCCATTCTGTCGGTTGTCTTTTGGTTTTGTCAACTGTTTCCTTTGCTGTGCAAAAGCTTTTTATCTTGATGAAGTCCCAGTAGTTCATTTTTGCCTTTCCTTTCCCTTGCCTTTGGAGACGTGTCTAGCAAGAAGTTGCTGCAGCTGAGGTCAAAGAGGATGCTGCCTGTGTTCTCCTCAAGGATTTTGATGGATTCCTGTTTCATATTTAAGTCTTTCATCCATTTTGAGTCTATTTTTGGGTATGGTATAAGGAAATGGTCCAGTTTCATTCTTCTGCATGTGGCTGTCCAATTTTCCCAACACCATTTGTTGAAGAGACTGTCTTTTTTCAAATGGATGTTCTTTCCTGCTTTGTCAAAGATTAGTTGCCCATAGAGTTGAGGGTCCATTTCTGGGTTTTCTATTCTGTTCCATTGATCTATATGTCTTTTTTTGTGCCGGTATCATACTGTCTTTATGATTACAGCTATGTAATACAACCTGAAGTCTAGAAT